CTTAAATCAAGAAATAGTTTTCTAAGATCTACAGAGATACTTACAGGAACACTTCAGCAAGTGAGAGTCCAAAAGTGGCAGGCTAAAACCCAGAACCTCAATCCATGCGTGATACCGAATGAGAGACTCCCTCTTGGGCACACAGAAGACTGGGTGACTTGGAAGGCATTGAACAGACTGCACTCTGCCACTATGAGATGCAAAATCAACTTTAAGAAATGGGGCCACAAAATGGAGTCCATGATATTTGAGTGTGGAGAAGAGCAAACCACAGACTATCTATTACAGCAACACCAGAAGCACTCCAAGTGGCCAGTTCCTGGTCAAAGGACATTTAATATAATGCCAAGTTTTTAAACTTTGTGGGTTTTTAAAAATACACTACAACTCTACCCTTGGTTCACTCCTGATGTGATAAATAAATACTTCTGTTGCACTATGACAAACCAGCTGGACGCTAAGATTCAAAATGACTCAGGAATGGTAATAATGGTGGGATATCTGGGGGCAGTTAGTTCTTACCACAGTGGATAATCTCTTCTCTGTACAACTAGCATCATGTTTCCCTTGGTGTGGGGACTTCGCCTACATTTTGTGTACTTTTTGAAGGTTAAATGTCTTGGGGGGAAAGGAAAAGACCCACTGAAAGGAAAGCATTTTTAAACTTCTCCAGTTGTGAGAATGCAGCATTTAACAGCAATCTAACTGGGATATAGTCAAGAGAGAAATTTCTTTTTGGTTCTGGATTAACACCTCTGTCATTGGTCAAAAAGGATGTGGTTTATAACTCCCCACGACGTAGTATCATGTGGGGAAACAAGCAAAGTGCATTGTAGTCTTGTGTGGTTAGAGAGTGCAGCTGCTGAAGATGTGCAACTGCACACATTGCAAATGAAAACTGGCTATAATGTGCTGTCAACTTTGTAAAAGTGTTGCTGGTTGGGAACACTTCCCCCCTTTTTCAAGCATCAAGACAGCCTTATGTAAATATTTTTGTGTCCTCAGCTAAGTGCTTGATCTAATATCCCTCTTGCAATTACAACACTTCTTAAAATGCAGAGCCTGGGATATGAGAGTCAGGAGAATGAGGCCCACCTAGCTGTATAAAATCCATATTGAACTGAATTATATGGCAGTGTGGACTCAGATAAACCCAGTTCAAATAAGATATTATGGATTATCTGCCTTGATATTCTGGGTTATAGGGCTGTGTGGAAGAGCCCCGAATGACAGAAACACTGACTCTTGAACAATACAAAGGATCGTGGGTGCATTAAACCAGATGAGTTCTTGAACCTTCCTCAAATAAAACAAAGAGAGGCAGGCTCTTATATTGTGGAAAAAAATAAACACATCCCATGGCTTTGCAATAAAGTCTTTGCTGAAAAAAAAAAATAGATATCTTTAGTTGGTATATCTATACACAGAGTTAGAGTTTGGCCCATGACATATAACTGGTTTCCTCTTTCTAAGACATCTCCCTGTAACTCATTCAAAACATTTTCTACAACACACCTCCAGATAGGCTGGACTACAACTATGATCTTCACTGACCATATTTGGTTGACACTGCTTTACATGTTCACATGTTAACTGGTATTTTATTTATCTTGAAAAAAGAATATGATTTCTCAAAAATAAGTAAGCATTGTATAGTGTAGAGGTTCTAAACCTGTAGGTCCGCAGGTTCTTTATTTAGCCTACAACTCCCAGAAATAGCTGTTAGGATTTCTGGGAATTGAAGGCCAAAACATCTGGGGACCAACAGGTTGAGAACCACTGGTATAGTGGCTTGAGTGTTGGACTATGACTCTGAAGACCAGAGTTTGAGTTCGTACTTGGCCATGGAAACATATATGGTCTTACTGGGCAAGTCACACTCTCTATGCATGAGAGAAAGACAAAGGCAACCCCCCTCCCAAAATATCTTGCCAAGAAAAACCCCATTGTAGAATCACGTTAGAGTTACCACAATTCAGAAATGACTTGAAGGTGCATAGCAACAACAAAAACCCTTCAAATTTATCACTTCAAGATGTTTCTATCCTAAGGGGTACTTGGCCAGATTTATTCAGAGGCATGTTGTCATATTTCAGGGCAGGAGAAGAAAGGAAGAAAGGAAGGAAGGAAGGAAGGAGAGAAGGAAGGGAGAGAAGGAAGGAGATAATGAAGGAGCAGTCTCAGTTCTTGTTTCTGTGTTTTTGCAGAATTAGGCAAGAGTAGCCACTGGTGCCACCACCATATTGGCTATTTCTAACAGCTTCTGGACCACATTTCCTGAAGGACATGTTGAGAACCAAGCTGAAAGACACTGGAGATAAAGCAAACACCAGTGATGGCAGGTGCTCTGCTATAAAGACCAGGGCAGAGGCAGGAGTAAACTGTTGCTGTGGTCCTCTTTTCTCCAGTGCCTCCAGGTCTTGGACCTCATCATTAAGGCCAAGTGAAGCATCTTACTTTGCCTGGCATCCAGGAGGATAGAGAGGGATAGCAGGGCAAATCTGTCGCCCTGTGTGCAGTTCCCTCTCCATGGCACTTCCTCCATCATATGGGAAAGCATCAACCTCCCAGCAAGGTCCTGTGCTGGCTCCGTTGGAGCCAGCATAACACAGGAAGCCTCCCATGTTGGGGAGAAAGCGTCGGGCAATGCTTTCACCCCAGTTGGGGGTGGAGTTTCCGCTAGATGTCACATGGCGTTGTGTGATGTCTGACGTGGGGTGTTCATCCATTAGATGAGGTGAAAGTGTCATAGAATGCTAAAGTCACCCCATCTGATGAGGTCTTAAGAAGAGATAGAGTAACAGTGGTTACAATTGCCTTTCTTAAGACTGGCACTTACAGCCTCAAGGAGGCAGCCTGGGAATGTCTCCTCTGAATTCCCAGTAGGCTGAATAAGCACCCTATTGTCTGTCATGTATGCAGAAGTAAAGAATATGCCTTCAACTTGCCTGTAAAGTATAGTTTTCAGAGGAAGAGAACAGTCAGAGGTACTTGCTCCTGCCTTCCTCTGAATATAACTAAATGCATGTGATATTTCTTGGAAACTTCCCTTCCATGTACTAACCAGGCCTACCTTGCATAACTTCAAAGATCAGAAATATTTGGGATCTTTAGGGTTTTTAGGTAGCTTTATAGTTGCTATCCACCATTAAATTAATTTCTTGCCATAGGTTATTGGGTGCTGTCTTTTTAATTTAAATTATTGTTTTATATGTGTTTGGCTTTATACTGTATTGTATTGTGTGTTTATTTTATGCGTTGTTTTAGGCACATTGTGCCATATGTAAGCCGCCCTGAGTCCCTTCGAGGAGATGGAGTACAAAAATAAAGTCGTCATCATCATCATCATCATCATCATCATTGTGACACAAAAACACAATATGACACAGCAAACAAGATATATATGCCGGATTTCATGTCACAAAATCACAAGTTGAACATTTCCCAAGCATTTAGGACTGTGTGATGCATTTTTGAATGATGTGTGCACATTCAAGTAAGGTGGCCTTTTGCAGTTGACAGATCGTGATTTTGTCAGTGTTTATTGTTATTATCATGATTTTGTTAATGTTTATTGTTAAACCCCCCCGATGAGTGCCACCCTGTCATGGTGGGGAGCTTAACTGCTCCAAGGATGCTGAGAGCTGTGCTGGCGGTAGTGTAAGTACCAGTAGGTCCAACCAAGTCAGAGAGGTCTCAGCTGAGGAGTGGAACTAAGAGCACCTGACCCATTAGTACTATGGAGAAACAAACCAAAACAAAATCTATACTGGCTTGGTCATCACCCAGGATAAAAAGGGCCATGGTGGATGCTGCTGATTCTGGACATCCATCAACAAGTGGGCTACACAATCAAAATACAAATGAACAGTCACAGAAGCGACAGAAATATACAATGCCAGAAAATTGCACAATAATGATGATGATGATGATGATGATGATGATGATGATGATGATGATGAAAAGGTTACACAAAATGAACACGTCAGACTACTCTGGGACTTCAGAATTCAAACTGACAGAGTTTTGGAGCACAATACTCCTGACCTCACGATCATGTTAAAAAACCAAATATGGATCATCGATGTTGCAATCCCAGGCAACAGCAGGATTGAAGAGAAACAACTGGAAAAGCTGACACAATACGAGGATTTAAAGATCAAACTGCAAAGACTCTGGCACAAGCCAGTAAAAGTGGTCCCAGTGGTGATCGGCACACTAGGTGCAGTGCCTAAAGACCTTGGCCTGCACTTAAACACAATCGGCGCTGACAAAATTATCATCTGCCAGCTGCAGAAGGCCACCCTACTGGGATATGCACGCATTAGTCGCCGAAACATCACAAAGTTCTAGACACTTAGGAAGTGTCCGACATGTGATCCAATACAACAGCCAGCATAGCGATCTTGTTTGCTGTGTACTAATCTTGTTGTGTTTCTAATAATAATAATAATAATAATAATAATAATAATAATAATAATAATAATAATAATTTTTGTCATGTCAGGAGCGACTTGAGAAACTGCAAGTCGCTTCTGGTGTGAGAGAATTGGCCATCTGCAAGGACGTTGCCCAGGGGATGCCCAGATGAATTGATGTTTATATCATCCTAGTGGGAGGCTTCTGTCATGTCCCCGCATGAGGAGCTGGAGCTGATAGAGGGAGCTCATCCGTCTCTCCCCAGATTCGAACCTGCAACCTGTTGGTCTTCAGTCCTGCCAGCACAAGGGTTTAACCCACTGCGCCACCGGGGGCTCCAATAATAATAATGTGTTGCTATGATCTGAGCTGTGCTTCCTTTTTGGTTTTTGTTATACATTGTGACACATATACACAGCTTAGAAATGGTATTGGTTTTGTGCCAAAAATAAAACCAATGTGAGAAGTGTTTTTTAAAAAGTGACCATCTTGTGGCAAGAAAAAATATCACAGAGGAGCTGGAAAAGAAGAGATTAGTTTTTCCTTCCTTCACACTTTAAATGTTGTGGGTCATCCTCACCATTACACCCTTTTGGGTAGGAGGTGTCCTGAAAGTTTCCAATGGTCTATAAAAGTTTGACAAAAGGGGCCTACGATTACTTCTATTCATATCACCCGAAGGAGAGGATCAACCATGAAACTGTACCTGGCAGCCATCCTTGCCACTGTTTTCCTGGAGAACTTCAGCGTGCATATTCTCAGAGGTAAGTCGCTCATTCCCACCCCAAGTTCAGCAGCAGTGTCTGATCTCACTGTTAGTATAAGATACAAACCCTTATTTTATGGAGGACGGTCAAGTAAAAAAAAGGAAGAAACTATATTCTGTTACTTTATAAAATATTTTGATCTCTTTAGACTAACACAATCCTGTTTAACTACAGATATATTAGTTATATGATGCTATTGAAATATATAAGGGCACTTTACAAAGGTTCTTTTGAGTCCAGAGAGTCTTCATGTCCTCAAAAGAAAATGTCCTAAACACTATTCAGACAATTATAGAAACTGCTTAGCTGTATCAGTATAGATCCAAATCTATCCTAGATGGTTATTTCCCATGCATCCATATGGAAACTGTTTCAATTCTAGTGGTTCTGCTTTACTGCAATGTATACTCAAAGATGTACTGGACCAAAAATCTCTTTAATGATGCACAGTCCAAAAATGTTACCTGCCATGGTTTTATCTTATGAAATCCTGGGGATTGTAGTGTCCTGCTGTATTTAAAATTCCCTGGAAGAGATCTCTATTGCCTCATTAAACTACAAATCCCAGCTAATGACTGTAGGATGTAGGCATGGCAATGCGAACAGTGAAAAAATACTATTAATTGATTTATTAAGGTCAATGAATTACACGACTGACAAATCTATACATCATGAAGCAGAAGAAAATGTGAAATAGATGAATTAGTCAACTCTGGGTCAAGTTTATATTTTAAACACTTTGCTTTAAAAAAATCACTGTATGGAAAACCTCCAAAGAGGTCAGCCATATTTTTGGAAAGCAAGGATGTTTGAAGGACTTTGTGAGGTTTAGTGAGTTTATACCAGGCATGGGCAAATTTCAGCCCACCAGGTGTTTTGGACTCCAACTCCTACAATTCCTAACAGCCAGCAGGTTGTTAGAAATTGTGGGAGTTGAAGTCCAAAACACACGGAGGACCGAAGTTTGCCCATGCCTGGTTTATACCTATGCAACACCTTGAATTGAACTACTTCATGTGTACTCTTCAGGCATGGAGGAACCTCTTTTCTATTATGCTTTTCAGTGCAATTGTAAGCACGAGGAAGGCAAATTGGAAAAGGAAGTTAGCATTATGCTTAAATAGGGTACAGGAAGGCATGTGAAAGGTAGACCTCATCTCTAATGTTTCTGGTCCTGACCTCTAAGTAATCCTGTCCATAATGAATGAGGACGTTCACTTGGCTTTAGTTCACAAGGAGAAGCCTCCACATGCGCAGAAAATCTGCTCTCCTGACATTTCTGGTACTGTAAAATTTGGTCTTATGTTCAAATTATCCCCAATCAACACAGAAACACCAGGAAAATTGAGTGGGGTGCTTTGTCCTATTTGGTGCATTTCCATATCCTATTTCAGCATACTATTAGCATAAGGTTTTAAATCTTGGATAGAGTTTGAGACACTTAAAAAACCTACAAATGGCCAGTGGACAGATGTACAGCTATGAGGAGGTAGTGTTAGTGAAAATATTGCTCTTCCATAAAAATCCTGCCCTTCCAGAAATGTTCCTTCAATCCTCAAATTTCTAGCATCTCAGGTGTGCACTAAGAAACACAGTTTAGGCATCCAAACAAATGGAACAGTCAGAGGGAATCTAAGAGTTTATTCAATATGTGTATCTGTGCAAACCTTTAAGTTGCCTATTGACTTATAGTAACTCCATGTTTCAAATGTGAACAATTATCAATGTCTCATTCTCTGTGATTCTAGGAATTTGGAGACTGATGCAGTTTCATTTCCAGGATAATTCTTATGGGCAGCAATAGCTTCATTTCATCCTTCCCTCCCTGTTACTACACTCTTTTCTGTGGTTCTGCTGGCTTGTTAATTCTGGCATCTATTCTTCCATAAGTGACATTCTCAAGATCTGATCTTGTCAATTTGAAATAATGTCTTTGAGCTTTTGCAAGTTTTACAACCAGATTACAGTTGCAAAGAAGCAACAGTTAGACTGGGGTAGAAACTGGTCATACAAATAGGTGGCTTATACATCTACAGATGGTTTATCGCCCATTTAAAAACATTATTCTTAAAACAATACTGCCCACAAATTGTTAGAGCTGAGAGGTGACATATTCCTTGAAACAAATGATAGATATTTATGTGAATTTTAGTTTTGCCTTGCTAAATTATTGTCAGCAACTTTGTTTCATTCTGTTACTATTAGTTTTCGACTGATTTAACTTCAAATTTCATCCAAAACGCTTGCACAAAGGTTCATGCACAAAATTTTGCCAAACTAGTACAATGTTTACAATTATATATGGGAACTGTTCTGTTGTGTTGCAAGCATCTTTCTTCGTGCTTCTACTTATTTTCCTTTAATATGAGTCTGTGCAATATTGTCTGCATTTTTGGGTTTTAAATCACATGTTATGCTTCTGAAAATTGTGGATTTTGATACATTTCAAATTCCAAATTTGATACATCTGTACAAAAATTTGGACTTGACACTTTTCTTCTATTTCTATCTGAAACAGAAATGAAGCCTCAAAGAAAGATACCCCAATTTGGGTTGTTGTGAGTTTTCCGGGCTGTATGACCATGTTCTATAAGCATTCTCTCCTGATGTTTTGCCTGTATCTATGGCAGGCATCCTCAGAGGTTGTGAGGTCTGTTAGAAACTAGGCAAGTGAGGTTTATATATCTGTGGAATGTCATCTCCCAACAAAGAATTCCCCTAGACAGTAAGAAGCCAAACCTTCAATCTGTTAGACCATTAAACACTAATCAAGGTGACCAATTGAAACAATCACACCTACCTCAAGTAGACAAGAATTCTTTCTCCTACCCTGGACATTCCTCAGATATATAAACCCCATTTTCCTAGTTTCCAACAAACCTCACAACCTCTGAGGATGCCTGTCATAGATATAAGTGAAATGTCAGGAGAGAATGCTTCTGAAACATGGCCATACAGCCCAGAAAATTCACAACAACCCAGTGATTCCAATGAAGGCTATGAAAGCCTTCGACAATACATGATACCTCAATTTGTTACTATATCAAATGAAAAGCAGTTATAGTTATGATATATTTTCACATTGACAACTTCATTGCTGGCTTTCAGGAAAAAGAGGCACAGGAAAACTGGAATGTAATAACAGTAAAAACCTTTTACTAGTGGAAAGTTCTGTTCAAGTTATGTCGGTTGACCTTACATTGTATTTCTTTTTAAGGAGCTGCTGGATCTCAGATTATGCCACGAAGTCTCTGCACAGCTGTGGAAGTCAGAAGAATGAAATTGGAAGTACTAGACAGTTACAAAATTCTAAAAAATAAACAAATTGTGGTGTGAGTATGCTACCTTCAATTGCCCAATAGCCTAGACTAATTATTTTGTTTATTAAGGGAAAAATAAAGACTAATAGATATGGTTATATTGTGATTATACTGAAGAGACAAAGACCCTTTCACAGCAATTTCACACATTTCAGAACCACCAGTTTCATTGTTTTGCTTCACATTGTGCTTGAAGAGAAATTATCAAAATACCAGAATCAAAATGGCTAACATCTTGTTTTTCTCAATTATTCTTTGAAGTACTTTTTGAATTTTGGAAAACTCAAAATGGTCAACACCATCAAAATGGTCGTTTCCTTTGCTACTTATTTGATCAATTTATTGCAAGACATCTCACAATCTATACTGCCCCTTCCCACACAGCTTTTACAGAGTTTTCCTTTATTATTTATTTGCTCTATTTGTATTCCACCTTTCTCTACCCCGAAGGGGACTCAAGGCGGCTTTACATGCGGCAACTATTCAGTGCCTTTGAACAACAAACAGTTAAAATACATTAAGTTAAAGATTTAAAATTAAAATTAAATGCACATGAAAAACATATAAAACATTACAATCACTATTAAAAATCATGCCATCCACAATCATAATCCGGGGCCATTCCAAAAGTCATTGCACATAATTCTGTATCTATTATTGCACTTTGGTTAATCTACAAAGACTTGATCCCGGAGCCAGGTTTTCAGTTTCCTTCTGAAGGCCAGGAGGGAGGGAGCTGCTTCAATATCACTGGAGAGGGAGTTCCACACCAGTGGCCACCACTGAGAAGGCCCTGTCTCTCGTACCCACCAGACGCACCTGCAAAGGAGGTGGGACCAACAGTAGGGCCTCCCAGATGATCTCCAAGGTGGTTCATAGGAGGAGATATGTTTTGACAGGTAAACTGGGCCAGAACTGTATAGGGCTTTATAGGCTAAAGCCAGCACTTTGAATTGTGCTCTGTGGCAGACTGGCAGCCAGGGGAGCTGACATAACAGGGAGGTTGTATGCTCTCTGTACACCACTCCGGTGATCAACCTGGCTACAGCCTTCTGGACCATTTGAAACTTCCAAACAGTCTTCAAAGGCAACCCATGTAGAGCACATTGCAATAATCTATTCAAGATGTGATTGGGGTGTGGACCACTATAGCATATTTTCTTCAAAAATAATACTCTTAATTCTCCAGATCTTAGTCAATATATGCTAAAACAGCATTTTCCATGCATATGAAGGAACTATCCACAGCTTAGGAGACATCCCTTCCTCCAACTGATGAATAGATGAACCAGCATGGTGTAGTGGTTTGAGTGCTGGACTAGGTCTACTAAGGTTTAAATCTGGAGGAGGTGAGGAGGAAGGAAAGGCGCGCCTAGAAAACAATTTACTGCAGGTTTCAGATTGTCTATTTTAACATCACTTTTTTCCTACGACCCTCAACGCCCTTTTCAGATATGATAAACACTAATTGAGAAGCTCAGATTTTTTTGTGAAAAACGAATAAGTGTAGTGTCAGAAAGATTAAGCATTAGATTCCCCTTGCTGTAATTTGCACCCTCTCTTAATAACTGTCTAGCAGTGACTTGCGTTCCCAAAGCTTGATCCAATGATCCAGCTTGCCCATTCAATACAAATGAACTCCAGTTTTTATTTGCAATGTAACACATAGGGGGAAAATATATTGTGATGAATAGCAGTCCCACCCATGGGTCTTTACAAAGCAATAGGAATCACATCAACTCTTTGAAAGAATGTAAATGTGATGATTACTTTTAATGTCTTTTAGACTAATCACCAAGAAAGGCATCGAGCTCTGCATGCCATCTGAACATTTATGGGTGAAGAAAGCGATTCACCACTTGGACCGAAAAGCAGCTCTTGCAAACCCGAAAAGTACTACAAGTCCAGAGTGTGTTACTAACTAATTTACAATATTTCAATTTCCAAATCAATATAAGTTATGAACTTTTCCATCTATTAAAACCATATATTTACATTAGAGCAGTGGTTCTCAACCTGTGGGTCCACAGGTGTTTTGGCTTACAACTCTCAGAAATCCCAGCCAGTTTACCAGTTGTTAGGATTTCTGGAAGTTGAAGGCCAAAACATCTGGGGACCCACAGGTTGAGAACCACTGAATTAGTCATTTATTCTCGCCTTTACTATTAATTTGATTATATTGTCTTTATCTATATTTATTGTGGTAACAATATCACTCAATTGTTTCTGCTGGGTGAAATAGCACCGGGACTGTAGTACAGCTGGCTGGGAGTCCGCTGCATTAGATCACTACTGACCGAAAAGTCATGAGTTTGAAGTCAGCCCGGGTCAGAGTGAACTTCCAACCATTGTGTAGCTTGCTGTTGACCTTTGCAGCCCGAAAGACAGTTGCAAGGAAATTTAGGTACTGTTTATGTGGGGAGGCTAATTTAACTAATTTACGATGCCATCAAAATCTCCAGCAAGCATGCAAAGAATGAGGAAGTGCTCCATCAGTGTCACAAATGGACAGTGAAGCGATAGCTCCCCTGGTGGCCAGAATACCCTCATGAAGCTGGAATGTTAAATGGCCTCTATGTGTCTGCCTATATAAGTTGTGTGTCTAAGGCATTGAATGTTTGTGATGTACATTGTAATCTGCCCTGAGTCCCTTGCAGGGTGAGAAGGGCGGAATATAAATACTGTAAATAAATAAATAATAAATAAATATACAGCATACAAAATAATGCTATAAAAATGTCCAGCATTGAAATTGCTTTTCCTCCCCAAACCAGTCTTTGAAGAAGAAAAAAAAATCTCAGTCTTTTCCTTCCTCTCAGTCTTTCTGCTCCTGACTATGCCATCATCCCTTCCATCTTATTTCCTGATCCCTTCTATCATTTCTGAGGTTTGAATTAGACTGGATGACTTCCAAGAGTTAACTTTAATCATGTGAGGTGGGGAAAGAAAGAATTTATTGTTGTTGGTGAAACATTAACCAATCTGTTGTGAAGCAAAATTTCACTTTATCCTCTCCCTTGGATGAAATGCTAGTTCTGTCATATGTGAGCAGTTTGAAGTCATAATAATTTGTTGTTTATTCATTTAATCACTTTTGATTCTTTGTGACTTCATGGACCAGCCCACGCCAGAGCTCCCTGTTGGCCATTGCCACCCCCTAGCTCCTTCAGAGTCAAGCCAGACACTTCAAGGATATCACCCATCCATCTTGCCCTTGGTTGGCTCCTCTTTCGTTTCCCTTCCATTTCCCCAGCATCATTGTCTTCTATAAGCTCATAGATCTTACATTCCAGGTTCCTATTTATTTATTTATTTATTTACAGCTTTTATATTCCGCCCTTCTCACCCCGCAGGGGACTCAGGGCGGATTACAGTGTACACATATATGGCAAACATTCAATGCCAATTTTGACATACAACATATACAGACATAGACAGAGGCTATTTAACTTTTTCTGGCCGCCAGGGGAGCTGTCGCTTTCATCGTCCATCTGCGACACTGATGAAACCTTATTTTCCTACTTGACAGATGCAACTGTCTTTCGGGTTGCAAAGGTTGACAACAGGCTACACACAATTGGTTGGAAACCACTCCAACCCGGGCTGGCTTCGAACTCATGACCTTTTCAGAGTGATCTTAATGCAGCTGACACTCAGACAGCTACGCCACAATCCCTATGGTGTGTTGATCTTTAGAGCATCGGATTTGTCATTCACCTCCATCACCGTCAGCCGCTAGCCTTACTTTCAGCTTTGAGCTAGCTGCGTCATCACATCTGGAGCTAGTTGAACTTATCCTCTGCTCCTCCCCAGTACCATTTTGACCATATTCTGACCTGGGAGTCCCATCTTCCGATGGCATACCAACATATCTCTGGTTGTACTGATCTATTTAGTTTTCTTGGCAAGAATACTGGGGTGGGTTGCTATTACCTTCCCCAGGAATCGCCTTCATGGTTTCACACGTGGCTTCATTGAGGTGTTCAAGCTCCAGTGGCGGGACAAGGCAGTGATCATTTGCTGGAGAATCCTAATATAATTGGAGACAAAATAAAGGAAGAGGTGAAATCCCGGGAGTCTCCTTAGAATGTAAAAACTCTCTTAGAAACCTAATGAGGATGTTGAAGACTTCCTTCCAGCCTCAATTCCAATGCTCCTCCATTAACTTGCAGATTTATAGAAAAACTGACTTATCATAACAATGCTACAGCAATCCCATTCCAAGGAACCTGATGTATACACTTGAGGCCCTCACCTCTTGGTAAACAATATTTAACAATCCCAAAGCTTCCCTTCTCCTAGTTTTTATTTTAAAAAACCATGTTTTTATTCACTGTGTTGTTTTAATTGATATGTTGTTCTACCTGGTTTTGTAGTGAACCTTTTATTAGAGTCTAGAGGTGGGGGAGAAGGGAAATGAGTGCGGTTGGTTATCAGACAGATGAGAGAGATTGTACAGGATGGGGAAGATATAATGGAGGTGAAGATTGGGATTTGTGTGCACATTTCGTGCTACAACAATGTAAATAAATATATCTATGAAAATGAAAGCATTTGAAGTTCTTATTGCCAATTATTAAGATTTTCACTTTTAGAGTAAACACACGCACAGACACATACATTCAAAAGATGGAAGACTACCAAATCATGGCATCAAGAGGAAGGGGTCATAGCTATCTGGAACCCTAAAGGGCCAGATTCAGCCACACAGCCTGAGATTCCACACCACTGCTATATACATTTGTCAACATAAAGATGCTTTTTCCAGCTCTAGTAATACACTGTGTTATTTTATATGTACGCATACACATATATCCTTGCCCCCTCCCTTGATTTGAGATGTGTTTGGAGGGAATAGGGAACATTTTGTGTGTGCATTTATGCAAAGTTCACATATAAAACAAATAAATGCTTCCTAGAGCAAATTAAACCTGAACTATCCCTGCAAGTCAAAGTGACTAAAAAGAAATAATTGTTCTTTAGCTATATAATAAGACATGACTCACTTGAAAACACAATAATTTATAAGTTAGACATAAGAAGAAAAGAAGACTACATTCCAAATGGATAGGCTCAATTTAAAGAAGCAAGACCATGAGTCTGAAGAATCTGAGGAAGGCCGTTGCAGATAAGATGGCTTGGAGGTCTTTCATTCATGGGGTTACCATATGTTGAAGCTGAAGGCTGTTTATAACAGTTATCTCAAGAATGAGCTCCAGAAGATACTACTCTACTTGAAACTTCTATGGAATGAAATTTTCAGCAGTCTGTCTACATGGCTTCAGGAGGTCACTATCCTTTACTGCAGTGGTTCTCAACCTGTGGGTCCCGCAGTGTTTTGGCCTACTACTCCCAGAAATCCCAACCAGTTTTCCAGCTTTGGTAGGCCCAAAGGTTGAGAACCACTGTTTTACTGTGAAGATTCTTCAGCAAAGATCCTCAACTCACTGGAACCAATTCTTTTCTGAACTGCCTACAAAATACTGCAATATTTAGGTCCAGAGTAGCATTGATGTCTGCTATTGTTTGGGTGCATGTATCCAGAAGGATAGATTCAACCAAGGAAGCCAGGACCCTGAGTCTGCAAGACCTGAGAACAGTTGTCACGATGAATGAGAAATCTGGAGGTCTCTCGTAGTGACTGCAATTAAAAACAACAATCCAGCCAGACTTCTTCCCAGCTCCATGCAGAGCTGTCCATGGTCCTGGTTCTTTGCCCAAACAATTCCTTTATCTTCCTATCGGTCTGCCGAACCTTCTCTGAACAGAATACATTGCCAACATAAGACATTATTTCGAAGATTAATAAAAGACTGTCATTGAGGGAGGGGGGACAGACATACAGAACCCCTGACAATTTACAGATAAGTATCCTTTCTTTTTCCCTTCTGCCATCTCAAGTTGACCTACAAGTCAAGCAAATATCGTAACTATTGATTTTAAAGTTATCTCTAACAACAACAACAAACAACAACATATTACCTTCCTGTCCTCACAGCTCAAGCTCAAGGAGGGGGAGAGCATAGTTAAAACAGACAGATAAAATATAAGACTATTAAAATACATATATTAAATACATATAACATAGACCGACATTAATACTAATATAATATAGGTTAAAATTCACCATTTAAAATTGACCACATAGAGTGGGATTCCACAACCTTTTTAAACAGAGGGGCCTCCTCAGGGTATAATTTGGGGGGGGGGAGAGATGAATTTCTATGCACACTGCATATATCTTATTTGCAGTATAAAAAAATCGAAAGAGCAATACAATATTTAAAATGAAGAACAATTTTAACCAACATAAATTTACCAGTATTTCAGTAAGAATTGTGGGCCTGCTTTTGGCTGATGAGATACTCAAGTTAATTAGGATTGTTGTTGTTGTGTGTCTTCAAGTTGTTTCAGACTTAGGGTGACCCTAAGTCCAAAGTTTAGGGCAGGGGGTGAGTAAATGACTTTGGAGGACAGCCTCTGGGTCATGGGCCTTAGTTTGGTGACCCCTAATGTAGAGATCAATCTTCAATTGTGCCTTGAATTCTGACAGCAGATTTAACTGTTGAATCTCTTCCATCAGATTATTCCACAATGTTGAGCTGTCTTGGTGTTTGCCAGCTATAAGGTGATGTCAGGGTTTAGCATTCTTCTCTCCGCCAGCGCCCTTCTCCCCRACTCCTATTTCCAAGCTGGTTGCACTCTCATCTTTTCTCTTGACCTACATAATGGTGCCCCCCCCCCACCTCATGCTTCAATCCCCTTTCCATTTTGGGTTTAATGCTTAGTTAAAGCTGTTTCTACTCTAGAGGAGACAGGCACTCCGGGCTCATGCTCTCTCCCTGCACCACACAGCTTTCCAAGGCATTTTAAGGAGGCTTCTCCACTTCCGAGAGAAGGAAGGGCAATCAACCTGAAGCTATCCTACCCTGGGCTTGCTTTAAAAAGTCTCCTCTTTTTTCTTAACCTGTGGAATGGTGCCCCCCCCCCCCACCTCATGCTTCAATCTCCTTTCCGTTTTGGGTTTAATGCTTAGTTAAGGCTGCTTGTACTSTAGAGGAGACAGGTGCTGCAGACACACGCATGCTCTCTCCCTGCAGCACACAGCTTTCTAAGGCATTTTAAGGAGGCTTCCTCACTTCCCAGGGAAGGAAGAGTGATCAACCTGAAACTCTCCTACCCTGAGCTTCCTTTAAAAAGCCCTATCTTTTCTTTTGATTTTCAGGTGCCTTTTCCCCTCACACTTTTCCTTCTAGCAGTTGCCTCCCTCCCACATTCCACTTGTAATCAGTTTTTGGCAGCCACTGTTCTGTTGTGGCTGAAGAAAAACATGGAGGCCAAGTCCATGCCATTATGGCCAACCAATTAAGCTGGACCAGCTGGATTAGCCAAAGGGAACCAGCCAAAATGAATTCATGCACAAGCCTAGTGTCTGCAGCCTTTTTGTTCTATTACACAAACTTCATGCACCAGCAGAATTTGTATCATAAAAAATCACAGTGCTATGCCTTCTCACACACCACCAGGATTCTGTTTCTGTACAGATGTTAATAAGATTTCATTGAAAATAATCTGGGAGAGTATTGCATACTACTCACATAAATCAACCACCCCTAACTCACTGGAGGTTGGGTTGTTGTATATATGCCCATGGTCTAGAGGCATTCTCTCCTGATGTTTTGCCTGCATCTATGGCAAGCATCCTCAGAGGTAGTGAGGTTCCTAAGGGGAAACTGTCCAGTTTATATCACTTAAAGCTGCTTTAATGATTGCATACTTATGGGTAGTTGGAATTTATAGTCTTTGACACCTACCCTGGGGTCTCTCTTGAAATGATCTGGCTTTTCCTCCTTGAGCTGGGTGTTATACTGTGGCTGTACATGCTCACTTTTGAAAGGTGAAACCAAAAGACACACATTGGTTTCCACTGAGAAGAAAGAACTTTCTTTTGTGCCAAAAATAAAACTAACTTGTGAACGTCTTTAGTTATAACCACGTTGTGGCAGGAAAGAGTTTTCACTGAGGGGCTAGAACAGAACAGGGTTTTCCCCCCTTCACTTTAAACCTCTCCCCTCAAACCTGGTGGGCTTTTTCTCAGATTTTCCATCACTCATCTTCACCATTACACTTTAAACGTGTCCAGTGGTCTATATAGATCTGGTGGATAAAGCCTTCAGTCACTTCACCTCTTGATATCCCAAGGTCAACATTAACCATGAGACCCTATGTGGCAGCTATTCTGGCCATTGTTTTCCTGGACAGCTTCGGTGTGCACATTGTAAGAGGTATGTTGTGTGTGTGTTTTCCAATTTGCTGTTAACATACAAATTGCTCTTCCTTGTTTATGATAAAATCCATACAGCACTTTTCTTGCTAGTGATAAAGTTGTTTTCAGTGGTGTGACCTTTTTCTAGTGATTGCTAATGTAAGATACAAAACCTTGTTTCATGAATGATGCTC